CAGATGGAAGCTATTCGTGCCTTTGGCCAACTGCCCTGGGCCTGACTCCATGCTGGTGGCTGAACTGGGCTAGAGGAGGAGGTTAGACAGACAGACAGACAGAGAGATAACCGGCCAGTCAGTCGGTCAGCCAGTCAAGTCAGTCGGTCAGCCGGTCAGTCAGTGAGCTCATGAGTCGGTCAGACAGTTTGTCAGTTGCTTGGTAACATGGTCAGCCGGCCAGTAAGGTAGCTGGTGGGTCAACGGTCAGCTGGCCAGTCACTCACTCGGTCAGTCAGCTTGTTTGTTAGTTGTTTGACTGGTCAGTTATACCATCTAGGAGTTCAGTCAGTTTGTCAGCTGACCAGCTTCCCAACTGGAGGCTCAGCGGGTCCGTTACAGGTGGGGCAGGCGAGTCGGTTGGTCAGTCCATCAGTCATTCCGTCAGTCAGTCAGCCCATTGGTTAGCTGGTTAATCTGACAGGCTGTCAAACACTCTGTCCATTAGTCAGTGAGATAAAAGTGATTGTGCGTCCACAAGGCACAGAGTGAAAGTGAACATAGAGAGAACACAGACAAGTCAGAGGCAGCTGATAGTGGAGTGAACTCTCAATCCACCATGATATTTTTCTCAGCTGATTAAAAACAATTATCCTCCTCTGGAAATGGAGCCGAAATCTGTCCAAAGCTGGCGTTGCCCTTTCGCTTCTGACTGAGCCCTTGCCCTCAAATGCTGGGCTCAGTACGAGGTCACAAGGGTTACTTAAGGTCTGAGGTGGGGAAAGGAGTCTAGAAAAGAAGGAACAGATGTTCCTTTGCTGCCCCAGCTCCCCACCAGACCCCATTCAGAGTGTCTCGTTCCATGCCAGACACCACATGTTAGCAAGGGCAATGACCAGCTGGAACTGGCCCAAGTGTGGGGGGAAGAGGGGAGGCCTTAGGAACACAGCTCTGTAGTTGGAAGGGGCCTCAGAGGCCATGTAATCTCACTCCACTTTACAGAGGAAGAAACTGAGCCCCAGACAGGTGAAGTGATGTGCTCAAGAGACCGAGACAGTGAACAGTCCTGGGATCACGCCATCCGAGGACCGGAAGAAGAAAACGGAGATGTCTGGCCTACAGAAGTCAGTCAGCCAACAGGCACTTATTAAGCAGCTGCTGCATACTGGGATGGGGCGGTACTAAGAGCTGGGGATACAGAAAAAAGACAAAAGCAGTCTCGGTCCTCCCAGAGCTCAGGGCGGGAGCCACACACGTTTAACACACTAAACGGTGTAAATGAAAGGCAATCTCAGAGGGACAGCAAGACCGGTCAGGATGACCGGCAGAGGCCTCCTGCAGGAGGTGTGTCTGTACTAAGCCACAGGCGAAGGTGAAGAGAAAAGCCATTCCAGGCCTGGGGGACAGAGCAAAAGACGTGATAGCCATCTTCAGGAGGTAAAGGGCTGTCCCACCTCCTCTGCTTGGCCCCAGTGGGCAGAACAAGGAGAATCTAGCCATACCTATTTTACAGATGAGCAAACTGAGACCCAGAGAAGTTAAGTCATTAGCCAAAGTCCCATCCTCTGGGTCATGACTGAATCAAGAGAAGAATTACCGAATTTCAAAGTGGTCAGAGACCTCAAGAGTCATGGAGCCCAGCCTGTAGAGGAGGAGAAACCCCTTCTAACATCCCTGACAAGGAGTAATCCAATGGGATAGGATGGGAAGGGAAGGAAGGCAAGGGAAAGGCAATGAAGCATTTAAAAACATACTCACAGAAGGGCAGCTAGGTGGTACAGTAGATAGAGCACCAGCCCTGAAGTCAAGAGGACCTGAGTTCAAATCCGACCTCAGACATGTAACATTCACTAGTTGTGTGACTCTGGGCAAGTCACTTAACCCCACTGCCTAACCAAAAAAAAAAAACCATACTCATAGAGGAGGCCAAAAGGAAACCCGGACAGGCCTCGAAAGTTACATGCTGGGGCTACTAGGTGGCGCAGTGGATAGAGCACTGGCCCTAAAGTCAGGAGGGCCTGAGTGCAAATCTGGCCTCAGACCAAACACTTGACACTTACTAGCTGTGTGACCCTGGGCAAGTCACTTAACCCCAGTTGCCTAAAAAAAAAAGAAAAAAAAAGGAAAAAAAAGAAAGTTACATGTTGAATTTGTTCTATGATTGAAAGGAAAAGTAAGCTGTTATGTGATGGAAATTCAGTCTCATTTTTTTCTCTTTTTTTTTCTGTTTCTCTCTTTTTTTTTCTATTCTACTTTCTATTTGAAAATGCTCAGCTTTTTATGTTTAAATGCAGAATAAACAATTTCCAGTTTCTGCTGCAGGTCTGACAGCCGAAAGGGGACTTGGAACTCAAGTCTCACTCTACTTTTATAAATAAAGCAAAGCCCAGATAAGAGAATACCTTCCCAAGGTCACAGTTAAAGATCCTGGCAGGATTCAAACCCACTGTCTCCAGAGGCCAAGCATCCCACACTGGACAGCCCTCATCCTTTCAATGAAAGTTTATTTGTTATGCAGAGCCTCAATTTGACAGGGCCTTCCCTAATCCATACCACTCCCCCACCCCACCGCACAGTCATCTGTAGAGCTGTGGTCTAGGACTCCCCTCAGTTAATCTGTGACTGAGTATGGTCAAACCAGTGCCCTCGGCCTATAGCACCTAGTGGCTGGCCCTAGACTGAGGCCTTGCTCCAGTCTTCCCGTCTCCTTCAGTCACCCAGCTGGCCGATCTCACCTTTTGCTCTCAAAGAGTGTGTGCCATCAGCTCCACCCCTTCCCACCTCCCTTTCTGGTCATGACCCCCTGTAAGTGACCTTTCCCAATTAGAAGGTAAGTGCCATGAATACGGTGACTGTTCCTTTAACAAACAGATCTAAATTCTCTATCCCCAGTGCTTGGCACAAAGTGCTTCATGGTGCTTTCTTCCTTCATCCAGGTCCTGACTGTTAGAGTCTGCTACTCCTATGCTTGCTGCCGAGCTGCTTTTCAGTTGTATCCGACTCTCCCATGACCCCGTCTGGGATTTTCTTGGCAGACGTACCTGGGGTGGTTTCCCATTTCCTTCTCCAGCTCATTCTACAGATGAGGAAACTGAGGCAAACAGGGTGAAGTGACTTGCCCAGGGTCACAGAGCTAGGAAGTGTCTGAGGTGAGATTTGGACTCAGGAAGATGAGTCTTCCTGACTCCAGGCTCAGCACTGTATCCACTGTCCCACCTAGCTGCCCCCGCTACTCTTATTTCAGGCCAAAAGAATAAAAGGAATTCAACATCCTAGCTTATTCAGATCGTAAGTACAAAGAGTGATTACAAAATGAGATTAATACCAGAAGTTAGTCAACAACTATATAAGCACCTACTACGTTCCAGGCACTGCACTGAGGACTGGGGATACAAAGAAAGGCAAAAGACTGCAGCCTTTTTCCCTGAAGAAGCTCCCATCTTGACACTGGATTATGGGGCACATGGAGGGGGGGAGCAAGGTATAAGAAGACTGGAAAGGGAGGAGGGGGCCAGGGGATGAAGGGCTGTAAAAGCCAATGGGAAGGTTTTCTATGTGAGCTAGGAAAGGAAATGTCCCTTCCTTTACATTCCTACCTGGTCTTCCATCAGGTCACACTTCATTTACACCATCAATGGTGCACCTACCACCTCGGTCTATTCCTTTCTCACCTTCTCCCTTCACTCCTCCCACCTCAGGCACTGCTGAGACCCCACCCCAACCCCACCCAACTTCCAGGATACTCACGGTTAGGGGCTTGTCAAAAGGTGGCCAAAAGTTAACAGGGACGTCTGGAAAGTGTCTGGGGTGGCAGGACCCACTCACAGACACATTTTCTCATCCCTTTGTCTGCCTTGGTGAAGCCATTCCTCAGTCACAGGCTGGATGTCTGAAACCCTGGGGAATTTGCTCTGAAATCAACTAATCTGAAACAGCCTGTCTCTTAAGAAAGAAAAAAAAAGTCAGAAAAGGGGGGGCAGTTAAGAAGTCTGGGAATATCAGGCACAGGAAGATGTGGGGGAGAAATGGAAAGAGAGGTCTGGATGTGAGAGTCTGGACATACAGAGGCTGGAGCACAGTGGACGGAGCTGAGAAGTTTGGATCATAAAGAATGGATATAGATGACCCCCAGGGACCCACCCGCCACAAATTCTAGGAAGCTAGGAGAGTTGGTCTGAGAGCACAAAAGCATCTCGTGAGGAGTGTGGACACCAGATTCTCGCTGAGATTCTGATTTCTGAAGCCAGCCCCCTCCCCAAGCTGGCCTACTTCCCAGCTACACTAGGTCTAAGACTCTCTACTTGGTCTCACCTTTCCTCTGTCAATAGGGACAATGCTTGGTACTTTACACCTCACACAGTTGTTTGAAGGCACTCTAATAAACCTTGGGAAAAGTGATGGAAAAATCCAATGATTATAGAAGGAAATTTGCAAGTCAGTCCCAGGGGTCTTAACCTGATGTCCTCAGACCTCCAAAGGGTCCATAGAGAGATTTCAAGAGGAAAAAAATTACATCTTTATTTTCAGTAACCTCACTGAAATGGGGCGTTTCCTTCAATTATGAACATAGGCAACAAACCACAGCAGAACCAGGCTTCACCAGACTGCCAAAGGGGTCTATGATGCAGGAAAGGTTATTTGATATAGTTTAAGAAGAGGAAACTAAGGTCCAGAGAAGCCACTATAAGCCTTAGGTTTTGGCATGTGTGAAATGAGTATTAAGTCCCTGCTTCCCAGGGTTTCTTAAGGATAATACGGTGTAACACATATAAAACACTTCACAAACTACATAAATGCTATCGATTATGATGGTGGTAGAAAGATAGGAGGAGGAAGAAGAAGAAAAAGAAGAGATCTTGGGCTCCGCCTGGGTGCCCATTTATCTTGCAGAGAATGAGAGGTATCCTCTTTAATAAAACCTACAATTCTGGGTCTTCCCTTTTACTCTTCTCTCCTCCCCTCCCCATCCCTTCCCACCCTGCGGATCTCCTCCCTTGGCTCCTTCCCTCATGCCCTGGTGACCTTAGCCCTGCCACAAAGGGGAGGGATCATAGGAAGGAGAGAAAGGGCGGGAAAGGAGAAGATATAAGGGCGGAGACAGGACCTGTCCGTGGTCTGATCGAGGGCTGACCTAGCTCCGGAGGATGGCAGAGCTTCAGCTTACTCTCCTGCTGGTGGCCTGGGGGGCAACGGTTTCGGCAGTACCCTTGCCCCTGCCCTCATCACCTTCTCCCCTGGCTTACATGCTGAAGCTCTACCACGGTCACCAGCCCCGTGCCCACATCGTCCGAAGCCTGCAGACCCAGGGTAAGGACGGGTATCAACCTGGGTGGGGTACCTGGGTGGGGCTGACTAACCTTGGTGAGGGCTGGGTCCTGTGAGGGTTGTTTCAGTATTAGCGGGATTGCGATCTCCCAGGGTTTTTCGGGACTCTGGTATTACATGGGTTTCAGCATCCTTGGCATCTCTGGAAACAGGGGTGCCTATGTAAGGAGTGTAGGGTCCTAGGATCTGATGGAAGCCATAGGTGTCAGGTGGCATGGGGGGGAGGTGTCTCGAGGAGCCTGGGCATTTGGAGGTGTCTGTTTCAGGGATGTTCCACAAGTGGGGGTGTCCTGGAATTTGAGGGTATCTCAGTGTCAAGGATATCCCAGGGTTTAGAATGCCCCAGCATTAAGGGAGCTCAGGGATCTGGGAATGTTTTGTTAGGGATGGCTGGGTTTCTGTGAGGTCCTGGAGTCAGGAGTATCTCAGGCTTTGAGGGTGACCCTTCATCAAGGGTATTCCACAGTGGGGTGAGGTTGGTATCTCAGTGTCAGAGGTGCCCTGCGGTTGGGGCTATCCTAAGATTTGTGGTCAAAGTTCCCAGGGGGTGTTGCATGATTTTGGGAAGTCCCCTAATTGGGAATATCTGAGCATCACCAGGGGCTGGTGGGTGTCCAAAGTTTGGGGTGTCCAAGGTTTGGGATGCAGTATGGCAAGCTATGGGATCAGGGGTCAGGTCCTTACAGAAGAGGACACACCTAGGTTGCTTCCTGCCACGTCTGTTCCTGTGACGGTCACCCCCTCTCCACTGACAGGCACCCAGACTAAAGTGAGGGTAACAGGCAGGGATCAAGGAGTCAAGCCCCATCCCCAGCCCAGGGTCTTGTGAAGTTTTCTCAGCCCTAAGATCCCAATCCACATCCTGCCGCCGCTGGGGGCGGGGCGCTGCCCATTCCTAGTCCAAGGGTCCTTCATCCCCACTCTCCCCCCCTCCCCGGGGACTTCCTCCCCAATCCACATCCCCTAATCTGAAAGAGACCTCGACCTCCTGTCACTAGCCCCTGCCTGGCTCTTTGTAAGCGAGGCCTGGAAAGGGGGAGGGGGAGAAGGTGAGAAAAACCCTTTTCCTCTCCCCAGTCATTCTGCTCCCTGGGTCAAGGAACTCCAGCTACCGTCCCCAAAGGTCTTTTGTATTCGCCAACAAATACAAGGGAACAGACTGGCTTTCCCTTTGGGAAGCCTCTGGTCAGCTCTGAGCTAGTCCTGACCCAACCCACGAAGCCGACTGCCCCATCCGTAGCCACGGAACCTCAGCATTCCTCCTTGGCCAGCCCTTCTCCATAGACCCTCAGGAACTGGGAGAAGAGGGAAGGGAGGGTGGGAGCCCTTTTCTAACTCGCTGTTTGACCTTGGGGCAAGACATTCAGCCCCTCTGGGCCTCAAACTGCAAAACTAAAGAGTTGGATTGAACGGCATTTCTAAACGTACACACACACACCCCATATATATGTATATGTGCGTATATGTGTGTGTCTTCACACACACACACATGCACACAGCCAGAAAGCCCCTCAGCTTGGGAAGCAGAGAACTTGAGTGTGATGCTTATCATCCTGGTCCTCAGTTTCCTCATTTGTAAAACGTGGAGTTTGGACAAGTGGTCCCTTCCAGCTCCAGTGCAGATCTGTGACTCTATATCTACTTCTAGAGCCAACTCTGAATTAGCATTGGCTCCTAGTCAGTGAACAAACGTTAAGTGCCAGCTCAGCCACATGGCAGTGGGTGAGGGGTTAAGCAGAAGTCCCTTCCATGCCCTTCTCTCGGCCTGCCTCAGCTCTCTCCTTTGCAAATTTGCTTCCTTCCTTTGGAGAGGACTGGTGTGGATTACTGCACTGCTGTCATAGATGGATGGTCAGTTTTGCTTCATACTTTCCCTCTGTTACAAAGAAAGGCTTATTGGGTAGCGGTAGTGGTGGGGATATTTGGAAATAAATGATGTAAAAACAAAAGGCATCAATATCACTGAACGAGAGAGAGAGAGAGAGAGACAGACAGACAGACAGACAGTAGAGAGAGAAAGGAGAGAGGGGGAGAGAGAGAGAGAGAGAGAGAGAGAGAGAGAGAGAGAGAGAGAGAGAGACAGAGAGACAGAGAGACAGAGACAGAGAGAAAGAAAGAAAGAAAGAAAGAAAGAAAGAAAGAAAGAAAGAAAGAAAGAAAGAAAAAGAAAGAGAAAGAAAGGAAGGAAGAAAAAGAAACAGTATTCTAAGGTCACTCCCAGCTGACAGTCCGTGTTTCTTCCCCAAGCTAAGGTCTCTTCCAACAGTGATATTCTCTCTTTTAATGGCCTCTTAGAGCTATAAGATTGTGACTATCTAAGGTGACTAATTTAACTAATAATTTCTGTCACCACTTCAGAGAAGCTCCCCGGGCACTAAAACCATTAGCACCTGAAGGTGCTAATAAGGAGGGAATAGTGATTATGTGAAAGGACTCACAAGTTGGGGTGGTGACAGGATGGCGAGGAGCAGCAGCCATCCATGGGCAGAATGTTAGGAAGGGAATTCAAAGCTCAATTTCCCCAACCAATTTATCTCAGACCCTGAGCAGTTGCCTCACACTCTCCGGTCTGGGGCGGGGCTGCCTGTGTTTCTTCTGCAGAGGGGAAAGAGGACCCCAAGCAGTAGACGATGTTAATAGAAGGCAATGGGACCCAATTCCGACATGCCTCTCCATCCTGAGCCCAACCTAGGGGCAATGCCAGTGACCCGGATGCAAAGTCTTCCGAAGTATGAAATCCTAGCTATAACAACTTTCCCAGTTTTAAAAACAAAAAGGATTAGAGCAGATGACCATCAGAGGACCCCTTCCAGCTCTAACACCCTATGAATATAATCTGCATAATGGTTACTACGGGTACATAATGCTTGGCTTACAAAGGGCCCATCTGAGCCTCCCAACAATCCTAGGTGGTAAATGTCACTATTGCATTGTTGGTAGAGTTGTGAACTGATCCAACCATTGTGGAGAGCAATTTGGAGCTATGCTCAAGGGGCTATCGCTATCATGGGCCCCATTTTACAGATAAGGAACAGGAATCAGAGAGAGGCTATCACTTGTCCAGGGCCACACAGCTATGAAAGTCTGGGGCAGGATTGGAGGCCGTGTCTCCTATCTCACAGCTAATTCAGGGCTCTAAAACGACTCAGATTTCTCTAGCATTTTAAGCCTTGCAAATCTATGTCCTCAAAAGGTTGAGAGGCAGCACAGTACAGAGAGTCAAAGGACCTGAGTTCAAATGCTGTCCCAGTCACTTATTACCTATGGTACATATGGTGCCACAGGTACAGATGACCTACGTGATTAGGTGAATTCTTTCATCTTCCAGGTACAAATGCACCCACTTGTAAAATGAAGGTATTGGGTTAAACGGCTGATTACAGCTCTGAATCTAAGAACCTATGTAGGTAGAACAAGCACTATCATCTCTATTTTAAAAGGGAAGAAACTGAGGCAGAAAGGGCCTATGATTTGCCTAAAATGACACATTCAGTAGCAGAATCAAGATTCGAAACCAGAGTTTTCTCCCCCAGTGAGGGGGAGTCGGACCCCCAACCCCCCCACCACATACCACCACCTCTGGGCACACACTGGGACACTGTCCGAAGTGAACAAGGGGGTTTGGGAAGGAAGAGTGCACTGGCTGTGGACTGGCTGGTCAGTCTTGCTCCTCAAGCCAAACCTCTCACTCACTCCATTCCCTTGTCGATTGGCTTTTCTGCCTAGATGTGGCCATGGTGGGACAGCACTGGACCTTCGCCTTTGATTTCTCCTTCATGAACCAAGAGGAGGAGCTGGAAGGTGCTGAGCTCCGGCTCCAACTCTCCCCCCCAGCAGAGCCTCCAGTGGAAGCACCGATCCTGGTCGAGATCTTCCACCAGCCAAGGCACGAAGACGAGGGCGACACCGACGCCTGTCTAGAGCGCCGTCGGCTGGCTCTGTTCATAGTCACTGCCTCCCAGGTCACCTTCTCCTCCGACGGCATGGTCCTGGAGGTGACGGAGGCCCTCACCAAGGGGCTTAGGCCCCTGAGCAGCCCAGAGGAGATGCTGGTCTCAACCGTGAAAGAGACAGACGGACCCAGCAAAGAGTGCAAGCGCCGGCCCCCGGAATCTCCCGTCTCTGACGTGCAGCTGATGCTCCACTCCAAGGAACAGAGGCGCCATGGGAGCTCCACGCTGCTGTGGGAGGCGGAGAGCTCATGGAGGGCCAGAGAGGGCAGGATCTCACAGGAGAAAATCAAGAGGAACCCTCGACGCAGGAACGGGCTTGAAAACCGACAGTGCAGGAAAGTCAGGTTTCAAGTGGACTTTAACCAGATAGGCTGGGGCTCCTGGATCATCTACCCCAAGCAATACGAAGCCTATCGCTGTGAGGGAGAGTGTCCCAACCCCATGGAGGAGAGGTTTCAGCCGACCAACCACGCCTACATTCAGGTATGGCCCCAGAGTGTGTATGCGCATGTGCTCGCTGGTGTGTGCGTTCCTGCGGCCGAGCAAGGTGAGAGGGGTAAAAAAGCCCCGGTGGGGATCTGGCTGGGAGGCCACCGTTTGAGACCACATTAATTCCTCTTCCTTCTTAAATTGGGGGTTGTTCTGAATAGTTAATAGAGCTGATCAATGGCCACTAACCCTCTATATATCTAAATTATGGTGGAGAGAGAACAGAAAAAAGAGGCAAAGGAATGCTAGGAAAGATGGACAGAAGAAAAAGGATGAATATGGTTTTGCTTGTTTTTAGCCATTTTCAATCATGTCCGACTCTTTGCAAGTCCTTTCGGGGTTTTCTTCGTAAAGATACCGGAATGGTTTGCCATTTCCCTCTCCAGCTCATTTTACACATGAGGAACGGAGTTAGAAAGGGTTGAATGACTTGCCCAGGGTCACACAGCTAAGAAGTATCTACCAGATACTTACTAAAAGGATTTATTCTGTAAAACTTGGACTCAGTCAAAAGGCCAGCCCAAGCACCTAGCCCTGGTTCCAAGCACATCTGAAATTGTTTGAGATAAACAAGTCCCTTCCAGTTCTGACATACACTGAACCTACAAATAAAATTTAAGTTATTTCTAAAACACTGAAACCCAAAGTCCACGGGCTTTGAAAACTTACTAGGTCCTGCTATAGTCAGCATTCGGTGCCAACCCAAATGGGCCAACATATTGTTGAAATCTAGACTGTTGGCCCCTTCCTGCTCTAAGAAGAGGTGAACTCGTAGCTACTTTAATTAAAAATGCTCCTACCTTTACCTATTTCTGTACTTAGAAACCCCCCACTTTGGTTCTGTTTGGCCTAACGCAGTGATCAGTTGTACCTCCTCCCCACTGTGTCTTACATGGAGTGAGAACAATCCAATTCTGCCCTGCCCTGCCCTCCTTCTCTCCCTCTACAGAGTTTACTGAAGTTCTACCAGCCTCACCAAGTACCCTCTACATGCTGTGCTCCTGTGAAGACCAAGGCCCTCAGCATGTTGTATCTGGAGAATGGCAACGTCCTCCTGGATCATCACAAGGATATGATAGTGGAGGAGTGTGGGTGCCTCTGAACAGACCAAGAAGAAACATTAGATTTAAAGGTCAACTCAATTCAAACCCTCACTCTCTGCTGTTGGCAGGGTTCGGCTGAATTGCCAAAAGAGCCAGGGGAGAGGGAGTAACACAGAAAGGATTCAGTGCCCACCAGAGTTGAGGCAATGTGAATCTGGCTTGAGAGACAATTTCTGGAGAATGGAGAGTTTAAGCTCCGGCTGTGGGGCTCGCCCTGTTTCTTCTTCATAGAATGGGTCTGTTCTGCTCTCTGAGGCTGGTACCCCAGAAATGACGTTAGGGCAGGCAGGTGTGTGAGCAGGAGCTGGTCTCTGCTAATGAACTCTGTATGTCAATAAAACTATTGATCTTCTCCCATGTGGCTTTGGCATTTAAAGGGAAGGATAAGAATCTTCTCTAGGAAGTCTGGGAATAGAAGACTTTGGAAGAGGGAAGTCAGAGTCCTACCCTCATCTTCGCTGTGCTGGGGCTACTAGGGAAACACAATTCATATCTGTTCAAAGGTGACAGCGGAGGTATTTCTTCATGTATCCTTTAAGTTGGGTTCCCAAGTTTCTTAGCTGGTAAAGTCCAACAACCCTGGCCTGAGGGCCTGACAACCTCGCTTCAATTAGCTCTGCCACTCATTAGCCACAGACTTGGACCACTCATCTTCTCCCTATAGGCCTCAGTTTCCTCATCTGTAAAATGACAGGATTAGATGAAATTATTCCCAAGGCCCTTTCCAGTGCTATGGTCTAAAGCAGTGATGTTTACAATCCAGGGCTGGAAGGGACATCATGGACCAAGGAAAACAACCCCTCTCTTCATCTGTGGAAGGAGACAGGCCTAGAGAGGTGAATGATTTGCTAATAAATGGTAGAGTTAGGACTCTGCTGTCCAGCTAGAGTGAGCTGGGGATGCCACAGCAACTTGCCTTGTGAGTTTAAGATAACTTACATTTCCATGGTGCTTAAAGGTTTACGAACTGCTCTTTCCTCACATCCTTTGAGGTATGTACGTAGATCAAACATTATCTCCAGTTTACAGATGAAGAAACAGAGACTCAGAGGTGAAGGATAATATTGCCAGGAAGTGGTATAATCAGGAAACTGCCCCAAATTTCCTGACTTCCCAAGGCCATGTCCCTTTCCACTACATCAGGGTGATTTTATCAAGTGGGTCCTTTATCCTTTCCACTACTTGCCAGGAGAGATAGATGTGTGTTTGTAAAGCCAACTAGCCCTGGGTCCTGCCTGAACCTCTCCCCTAGGCCCACTACCAGGTCCCAATCGGTCTCGGTTTAGACCAAACTTCATGGCACTACAGCTGAACTCTCTCACGCAGGCACCATATGGCAGTGGCTCCCAACCCTTCCACACTAGATCCCCTCCTCACTGTCTTTTATCCACCCATGGAAGGGCAACTGCCCTTCTGGGGGATGACCAAGCTTCCACAAACCCTCTGCATGAGGTTCTAGGATCTCCAGAATAAACCTAGACGTCCCCCTGGGGTCTTCAAAAGGCTAGCTTACTTAATTAGGTGTTTGTGCCAGAAGGAATGGTCCAGAGGAGCAGCAGCCCTAGCTAACTAGGGCCTAGCAGGAGACTGGATTTGCATCTGTCTGGCTAGTTGTGAACTCAATACCCCCAGTCATCATCAGATCGAATCAGCCAGCCACCACCTGGGCTAGATGGAGATGGCAGCCAAGGCCAGAAAGGATTTTGCTTGTGATACCACTCAGCTCACAGGGCAGCCTTACTCTCTGCTTTGGCTTAGCTTGCAGTCATCTGGATTATCTCACAAATAATAGACCAAATTACACATTTACACTCAAATGAAATACGGGGCTGAGAAGTAATCCCACTGTAAAACTTTCACAACTCACAGGGCTCCAGAGAAGTACACAGTCCTAGAGAGGATAACTTAGCAGCTCTTATGTGGCTAGAACAGAGGAAGTTAAAGGCCACTCTACTTGGGGCCACACTGAGAAGTGCTGACAGCAGATCTACTCTTCCACGGAACTCAGAGCCTTGATGATAACACATACCTTCACAGCAAGCTGAGGATCTCAGCTGAAGGTGATCACACCACACAAAATGCCTGGCAGGCTATGTCCTGCTCTCGGGTGAGATGATCAGGCGGCTGGGGGTAGGACTCAAGGCACACTGGCCCATGTCAGGCTGGAGAGAATCACCGAAAACACCAAGCTTCCTCTTCCCAGCAAAGCTGCCCTTCTACGAGCCCCTACACCAGGCTCCTTCTCAAAGGATCTGTAATGGGCGGGGTTAGAGTCTGCCTCAAAGAGCCATCCTGTGTCTCACCTGAGCAACTAGAGGCTCAAAACGAAATCCTAGGCAAAAAGGGCTACTGGTCACAGAGCAAAGTCAAGACATTCTCTAGTAACTAGTAACTAGCAAGCCCTGGAGGCAATCAGCTGCAACCTGGGTTCCAAGTGCCACAGTGGGGCCAAGCAATATCGAAGAGTGCTTATTGGCAAGCCTACCACATGGGCATGGGGAGAAGGGTGAGAAATCGAGTGGGACCAAAAAGGGACACAGGAGAAGGGGCACCCAAGGTAAGCAGTGATACAATCCCATTCTGCACCAGGCCCACAGGTAATGCTACTCCTCTCCTAGACAGCTCCCACTGGCTGAGCAAACATTCCTTTGAGTATGATCTGCACTCTAAGGCTTGTAAACTGCAGCGAGGTAACAAGAGAGGACGTAATATGCTGAAGTACCATACAAATGTCTCAGCTGTCAAGCAAGGGTTCACTTCAGCCCCCAGGCTGGCAGCCCGGGAAGCACGGCAGACTTGGGGTCAAATCCCACCTTTACTGTGTGTTTCGGGACAAATTCACGTGACCTCCTCAAGCCTGTTTCTTCCTCTGTAAAAGAGAGGCAACAGAAGATGCCAAAGGTCCCTTTTCTGGCTCTCCAGCTATGGTGCAAGTTTCATAATATTTTCCACGGTGATTCTAAGGACACTTGATGCCCAACTCGATGAGGTAGGTAGTGCCAGAATTAGCCTTGTTTACAGATGAGGGGCAGAGGTTCTCAGAAGCAAAATAAATAGCCTTGTGGGAGGGCCAGATTCAAATCCAGGTCTCCAGACAACCTAGTCCAAAGCATCAAAATACCCCTCAGCTTGCCAAGCTGCACAGCCAGTGTTGGAGAAAAAGGTCTGACCACAGCTCCATCCACTACATTACCACGTCCCTGAACTAACTGTGCTGATCACCACTGAGAATTTTCAGAAATCAAGGTTATGCTTCAGACCTTTTTACTGGAAAAGGATTCTCTAAGCCCATGGCATCACTGGACTTACCTTCTCCGAAAAACTGAAAAATCCCACTGGCAAAGACCTCAATCCCAACACTACTGTCACTATGTACAGCAACAGTGAGCCCAGGGCTTAAGGAAGTTCCGGAGCGGTTATTTTGGAGCCCTCAACCAGGCAATGCCTATTACCAGACACGAAGGCTGTCACCAAGCATGCACTTGTGTGAAGGGCAGAGGGAAGTTTAGAGTCAGTCCTGAAGTCAGGAAGCGCTGACTTCTCAAAAAGGAGATGCAGTTTACATTTTACAAGGTGGTGTTCCTCACAACAATACTGCAGAACAGCTGCTGTGGTACTAGCCCCATTTTACAATTTACAACACTCAAAGGGATCTGCTCATTTGTGAGCTTACAGCTACTAAGTTTTGGGGCGATTCTTGAATCCAGGGCTCCTGACCCCAAAGGCTAGCGCTCTTTCTCCAATACTGGCCTGCCTCTCTTGAGCCACACGCCCACTTTAAGGGCTCCACTGATGCGTTCGTCTTGAGTGTCATGCTCAAAGAACGTTGTCGCCTTTCCCCAAACACCTTCCACATTCTAACAAAGGATCCCAAGATGCTAACAACTGACACAGTGTGAAGGGGAAAAAAAAACAATCCAAAGCCAAGTTTTTAGTCAAGATCTTTATTGATCTAACTAACAGAAACCATTGGTGAGAGTCTTCCTATGTTTCCAAATACCTGTTGGTTTTGAAAAACAATTAAAATAAAAACCAAAGCAAAAACAAAAGAAAAAACCCACAAAACACCCATGGAATTATACAGAAGTGCCTAAAGGCCCTGGCTGGCAGCCTCTGATTTCCATCCAGAATGATAATGGAAAGGAAGGGAGTGGGAAAGAAGAGTGGGTAAGGAGGTGGCCAGGGGCAGGGGAGGTGGTCTCAGCACAATTTCTGACTAGCCACAGCTTTTTCATTCAGAATGGCACTGAAAAGAAAGGGTTAAGAGAACAAGGGATCAACGTGGACTGGGCAAGGGGAATGAGCATTTTCTTTATAAAAGATTATTAAAAAGAAGCTTAAAATGGACACCCAACATGCAAGTGTCCTTTGGGTTCTTCAAGACACCTTCAAGGCCTACCTCACCTCCCTCAGGAAGAGGGCGGCTTCACCAAGGTAGAAAATAGATGGATTCCATCTTGAGGTGAAAGAAAGGCACTGGACCACCAATGCCCGGTGATACTAGCACAGACATGGGGAAGTTAGTAAGTGAGATGGACCATTCATCCTCCTCATCTAATCTGATCTCTAGCCTATATATAGAATGGGGCTTGTCCCATAGTTTCAAGTAAATTACCCTTGGCACAGGTGGGTTTGTTTTGTTTTTAAGATCAGGACTAAAGAGTAGGGAAGGAATGTGGGGGCTAGAATGGGCATGCCACACTTGCTTGATTCATGAAGTCTTACAAGCCTGGGATATTAAGTAACTTCAGTTTCAAGAACCAATACTCTCTAACACTGAAGAGGAGACTTCCCTTTCAAGAACCCCATTTGGACAGATGATTATCAAGCTTCCAAGCATCTCTCCACCTGCTCCAATCATTAGACAGGGAGTAGAGTAAGAGTTTAAACGCCTTAGGGAACTTGTTTCATCTCAGTCACATTCCCCAAAGCCACCTGTTTTCCATTCTGGCATCCCAGACATAAGATGCAGTCTGCCGGGTCTGCAGCATTTAAGGAAAGGAAAGCGCAGCAAGATTAACATGAGAACCAAAGACCTTTCCTGTATCTGAGCTTTAACAAAAGGGATCAACTTCCAGGACCAGCCCATAGGAAGCAGTTCATATTCCCCAGAGGGATAAATGGGAAAATAAATATGTACCAACCAAATCCTTATAGTTTTTTGGGGAAAAAAATCCAATTTTGACTTGGCCTCCAGTCTAATGTCAAAAAAACTTCAATTTCGAAATAAAAACCATGAGCAAAACAGTGACAAGACTTAGGTCCCTGGGAACTGGGGCCCGCCTTTTCTTGGCTCCAAGCCCATCTTCATTTAGGGAAAATGAAAAGCTACAAGTTATAGGGATGGTCAAAGCCCCTCAAAGTCCAGAATCCAAACAGATTCCTAAGAATGAAGCCCTCATTTCAAATGAATCCCTTCTACCTCCTCTATAAATGTGATTGGGTTACGCAGATTAATAAAGAGCCCGCCAACTGTCCACAGACCTATGGTCCAGAGAAGTGCAAAGTGGGGAAAGCTCTGAACCAGGGAGAAGAGAGCAGGGGAAGGGCTCTGCTTTACTCTGTGGAAAGATTGCCAAAGGTAGGGGAAGCTCTCATTCCAACTCTGCACTGGGGGGTAAGACACTGCCCTCTGCTGGCCAATACCGGCAACAGGAGACAGACTTCTCTCCTTGCAAGGTGCGGCCCTACGCTACCATTTCTGTGGTTAAGAGCACAAGGCAAAATGCCAACAAAGGGTTTAAGAATAAGGAACCCCAAAGCAACCGCTCTAACAGTTGAGTATCCAACTAGGGAAGAAAAGAGGTGGAACTTGAGAAAGGATTCCCATCTAAATAGTCACAAAGACACCAATACCTGAAGCACCTGGGAACTTAAAATGAGTGGAACTCTTTGCACAGAAATAAGCAGACATTCAATAAATAAATATCTGATTGGATGAATGGCCAACCGACGACTCTGGATGACAGAAACCAGGTGACTCTGCAGCAGCCATGGCTTCAATCACCAAAGTAAACGCTGATTCAGCACAACTGCAATGCTGGGGACACAGAGGGGACTTAAGCCCAGGCCCAACGAAAGGACCCTCTTTCAAAGCGCCGATACAACAGTAAGGGGCCGCTAGGCACAATGGATTTGACACCATTAAAGGGCAGAAGATGCCAGATTACTGACGATGAAGAAGTGAAGAAAAGGAATAATCAGAAATCATGGAACACCTGCTCAAGCTCTTCAGTCATTAGATAAATGCTGACACTCAAACATATAAAAGACTGCATTTTTTAATGCAGGAACCTCTAACACCTATGGGGGGGAAAACGTCTGCTGAGAAAAGCAAGTACTTTAGAGAGTTCAACCTAGGCAAAGAGGCTGGTCTCACTTTAAAAACACACATCTATCAAAACAATGTCAGTGTCTTCACTGAAAAACCAGGGTAAGGTGGAAGCGGTCTTCAGGTCTAGCCAAGTACTTTGGGCCTCTCCTCTCTTCTCAGCTGATAGAGCTTTATGCCCCAAATGCTACCCTGTTTCAATCTACATCCTAGCAGGGTCCTTCCTCTACCTCTGCTCATTCTAATTTCTGATATTCCTGCCTGGACTTGGCAAACCAAACGATCTTCTATGTTTCTGACCTGGCTTCTTGTTTGCCATGTCTGCTCGTGCTCAGATCCTGACCTCTGTTAATCACATCACGTCTCCCCACTGGGGTCACTGCTTCATGATTCTGGTTTGACCCTGCACTGCTCCCTCAATCCAATTAGTCCTACTGCAGCTCCTCGTCCCTTGACCTGGCACTCCTGAGTCATGGTCAGAGATCCAGAACCGAACCGGACGTTAGAGACATCTGGTCTAGCTCCTTCTTTCACAGACAAGGAAACTGAGGCCAAGAGAAGTGAAGCGACTTTCTAAAGGTCAAGAGAAGACTTTAATCTAGTCATCAGAAATGAAAACCTGGCATTTGGGATAATGAGGAGAAAAACGTTAGCCTCTATGACTAGGATTGGGCCAAAAAGGTCTGGGATCGCTGAGGGTCAGGTAGAAATACAGACCTGCCTCCTACTTAGAGGGGTGGCCCCCTCTTACTCACCCACGCATTCATTCAACATGTTCAACACCAGTCAGTCCATGGGGAAGAGACTCAGTTCCAAGACTTCAGAACTCTCTTCCCTCCTGGTTTGGCTTTTGGAAGAGTCAATCACGTTCAGCAGCAATAAATCATAAATAAGTAAGCTCATTGATTTAAATCTTAATTTCATTCTTTATGGGATGAAAAAAAAAAAACCAAGGTGTTCGGCAACAGATCCCTGGAAGGGCCATTTCACTAAATCCCAGTAGTCTTCAGCATCTGGATCATCTACTCAATGAATGAGAACATTAAAATTACATTCTGGATCCAGTGAAGCAGATCTGGAAGGAATTTGATTCTTGACCCTGAAGATGTTGCTGCCAGAACTGGCAAGGAGAAGACCACAGCAAGAAAGATGGGTTGTCTCAGAGGCACAGAAAGGAAAATGCAAATTAAGGGTCATCTAGACCAAAAGGGCCCTCTCCCTGCATGTTTCTTAAACACTGCCTTAAGAACACACACTCAAGGAACGTCCAGGAAGAGAATCAGCCCATAGCATCCCAACACCCCTCCCCTCCCAACACAGACACACACAGACACACAGACACAAACACACAGACATACACACTCACTCTCACTCTCTCTCTCTCTCTCTCTCTCTCTCTCTCTCTCTCTCTCTCTCTCTCAGAATACTGATCTTCTTGGCTGCAGTTAGGTATTCAAGTTGGTGTCCTGGCTTTGTTTAATTAAAAACAGTTAATGACAGGGAGATCAGAAAACCTCTTGGGATCAGCATCAGAAGAGCACTTCTTACAACTTTACATGGCTTTGGGGAGACTTTCCGTCTCAGAGGTGAGGGTGAGAGGGTTTAAAAGAGGGAAGGGGATTTGGCTGCAATCTTCCCCTCAAGAGAAAACAAATTACTACAATGACTCATTGTTTCAAAATTGAGTTTCTAATCCATATTTTTTGTTCAATGAAGTTATCACATTTTCCCATGTTAACAACGAAGCTCAAACCCATCAAGAGATTCACTGCCTGGTAGTAGACCACTTTATGCCAATTTCTGAATTGGACCAAGCTCTCTCTTGCACCAGCGATCCCAGCAGGGCCTGCTATGCATGCAATTTAAAGTTTTTTAAGAACATGGAAAGCCACACTTCGTAAGAGTTTAATTAGAAATAACTCAGGGATAGAATTTTTTTTTTTGGTATGGCTACTTTTCTCATCCCCAAATTTTTACACGCAAACATTCCCTAAACACTAAAGATGTAGCTTATTCCTGAGAAACACTCTGTTCCTTTAACTATTCACATTTTGTAGTAGAAACCGAATCAAGTTCCTAAGAAATTCTTCTGCCTCATGTGAAAACATATTCACCATCAGGGTCTTTTCACAGCTCAGAACAAAAACAAACAGCTTTTTAGAAAGCTGCACAGGCTGGTGACTTTCACCCAGATGCTAAGGAGCCACCAGCAACTCAATCACACAAGCCAAGTCCTGTGGAAGGATGGGCAGGGACAGCAACAGGTAGTAATCAGAGATCCAAAGGGGAACCAACTGTTTGTTTAGAGCCAATGAAGAAAAGAAAGAGGGAAAGATGAAGAAGGCTTTAGCACAAGACAGAACGGTCTGGTTATACAGAATTACCCACTACAAAACCCTAAACATGCACACACAGTCATGGGGAAAAGAACAAAACTATACCTCAAAAGTATTGGGGAGGAAGAGTAAGATTCAAATAGGTTTCATCAAAAGGCTTAAGACAAGCATCGAAATCTACATCGGAATCCGCCCTGCGATTATGGATCTGTTGCATGACTCACCTGAGGGGCTGGACTGAACACTCAGACCAAATATGCTAGGGCAAGGAAACTGATTTTTTACGTTACTATATTTAGCAGGGTCATCGATGTGACAGAAGCAGGAGTCAACCTAGAAGGCCATCTAGATCACTGTTTACTGACCCTATTAATTTATTACTATTTTGAAGACGATATGGAGAAGTACCAAGACAGCCCAGTGGCACAGTATCCCTCACAGCATGGATACGGAGTTCATCAACTCGGTGGGGATGACACTGCTGGCCTGGGTAAGTTCCTTGAGGCAAGTAATCTAAGTCCCCTACTACAACAAGCAGTTCCACAAGGGGAATTAAATGGAGGAAGAATTGGTCCTTTCATTTCATTCTGTAGTCTCTTCCTCCCAAAACTGGCAGTAGGGGAACGAGGCTGCATTGAAAAGGTCTTATGCCAAATCCGGGTTCACTCCAAACAAGGCCTACCAGAGTTCCCACAAACCAGTGTCTCAATTGCTACTACGCAAATTATCTTCACAATAACGCAGCAAAGTTTTCTTCTCGAGTTTGTTACCATACACCAAGGACTCCATCAACCGACTAGGCACGATGCGTCAGACTCAATCATTGCCACGTCAGCAGCCCAAGCACGCTTTGCCGGATGACTCATTGTAAAAACTGTTCTGGGTCAGGTCCTGCCCATACAAAGCCTGAAGCTGAGCTTCACCCCTTGGCCTGAGGCAGGAGTCTTCAAAGTGGACTTGATAGTCTTAGACGTGCAGTAAAGGAGATCTCAAAACATAGGATTTATGCCCCCTATGCTAGACTCGAATCTCATGGGGGGTTAATCAGTTGGAACAATTGTCAGTTATTGCAAATAGGTGTTACTTCTGCTCACAGAAGCACACTTATAAGGGTGAACCTTGATGAGAGGTACCAAGCCCTTCGAGAATCAGCCCATGAGGCTGAAAGCAGGCCAAGAAACGTTAGAAGTTAAAAGCCTTGGGCTAGAGAAAGAAGAAGAGATCTTTGCGGAGTTCCATCAGCAGAAGAATGCAATTAGTAAAAATCAACAAGAGGAGGTAGTGAAGGCTAAGCAAGAATTCCTCAAGTAACTCAAACTGCAGTTAGCCCCAAGACTGACAGGAGAACAAGAAAAAAGTCCATCTCTGCCCCAGCAAAACACTGACTTACTTAGAGACAGAATACTCTGTCCCAAACTAGAACTCCAATTACTAAAGCCTTCAAGTGCCAAGACATTTGACCCCGAAGTGACTTCTATCAAATTATACCATCCACAGATATTCATTCTCTTACCCCCATACCCCTTGAAAGCCAATTCACCCTCCAAGCAACAGGCAATGAGGAAGGAACTTCCCTGAGTCCAGCCAGTCTTGATGAATATATCAGAGAAGGCTCCTCTCAGCCAGCAGACATTCCAGAAGGTCAGGCCAACCCTGCAGACCATGAGTTCGAAGCGGACACTGATCTCCCCAAGGCGCTCTGCCCTTCAAGGCTCCTCGTGAGCCCAGAAACGCACATATCACCCAACAAGGTCACTCCCCAGAGCCTCAGCTCTCTCAAGAGCCAAGGAGCCATGGCCGTATCAAACTAGAATCAATAATAGAAACCCCAAGCTACACAGAGGCACTTCGTCAGTACAATGAGACTGGGAAATCTCTACATCTAACCCCCTTCAATGGTAACCTCTTGGGATTCCGGACATGCTTCTCTCAAAAGAACTCTGGATGGAAGTTTACCTAGCCCAAGGTGACCTCCCAGCAGGTTATGTCCCAACTGCCAATAGGCCTGTATCAGGGACAGAATTATCAAATAACCTTCACTATAAAGCTCTTATGGAAGGTATCCAGAGTATTCAATTAAGAAAAAAAAAGTATTAAATGAGGCATGAGAACAGCAAGCCTCTTCCACAGAAACGTTTCACCTTCCTGACACTGGAAAATGTTTAATGAAAAAGTTGCTGTCCAGAATTTGACTGAAAACGTTTCTAGAAAATAAGTCTGTAGTCATCTTAAAAATAAAGGTTCACTCCTAAGCTAGGAGTGTCAGATGTTATCAGATACTGACTCAGATCAAGTAAGGTACCTCTGACGTCAGGCTGCAAAACAGACTGGCAGAGAAACGAGAAAATACAGGGAAACAACAGGGTACAGTGGGAAGGCTGGGAGAGAAAGACAGCAAGGGTGAAACTAAGCCCATGTTTATCTCCAATTCTACATTAGTCAGCCACAGAGGGCAGAACTATGCCAGGAGAAAGTCTGGGTCAGTTCTCACATCAGTCTCAAACTCTACTCCCCACTCATTCGTAGAACAGGAGACTGAAACCAGGGCAACAGAGAGGATGGAAAGCTTGTTTGCCAACCTGAGACAGAAGTTGACTATTGAGACTAGGTCTCCAAATGCATCCCAAGCCAACTGGGAAGAGGTCATTTTTCAAGTTTAAATCTAAAATCAAAGAAGGAGCAACAACGTAAACCATCCACAAAGCAGATGCCAATGCTGACCCTTTACCTTGGTGCAGACCTGCTCTGGGTGCTGATGGAGTCACTGAGACATTTGAGAAAAACAAGGGAAATTAGTTTCTGCAAACAGGAATTTCAAGGGAGAGGAATAAGAGAGGAGGCACAGTAGCTGTGTACTAATGGCTCCCTCTAATACAAAGTTTAAAAAAGTTTCGTTCAAACGGGTAGGTAAAGGGAAAGGATAGCGGGTTGGGGGTGTGTCCTGCACAGAGGACATACCTCCCCAAAGGAAAGAAGGTAGAGGGAAGGGACGGGGGCTAGGCAATGGAGCATTAGAGGACAGGAAGTCAGAACCCAGGTTTCAGAGAAGCATTTGAGAGCGAGCTCCTGCCTTGAGGGGCACCCAAGGTCAAGGTAACTAGCAACTCATTTCCCCTCCTACCCTTGACAGCTCTGAAAGTCAAAATGCAAGCAACCTGCCTTCTGACTATTCATAAATGAAATACACAAGGGACAGAAGGCCAAAGGGGAAGGAAAATGGATGATGTTGAATCCAACAGACCTACATCTATCTCCCTCCCCAGCTCTGTAATAGCTGGTAACTGACATCTAGCTTGGGACGGAAGGGAGCTCTCCACCTTGACGGAAAGATGACCAGGAGAGTGAAGGTTCAGCTCCCTTCCTCTGCAGGCTTTTGCCTGTTCAGGAATATTCAAGGGGCCTTGATTCAGTCAGACTGGGCTAAGGGAAACTGGAGCAGAGGAGAGAAGTCAACGAACGGGAGCTAGTCTTCTGATCCTTTGGCACCTGCAGGATGAGGCAGGGACTGCAATGGAGGATGCTGCTACTGCCTCTTCTGTCTTTTCAGTTCTCAATCCTATTGGTCAATTCAGGTACACGCAGGTATCGGAGCTGCTGCTTCTCCTGTCATCTGGAGACTGATCAGATGTCCATCTCAAACTGAGCATCATCCCCTGGTTCAGAACAAACCGAAAATGAAACACTCTCTACTAGGTACACACTGGAATCAGATGCTTCTCTGTCCCCTCAAGGGCAATGAAACATCTACTTCAAATCAAGCATCAGATCTTTGTTCAGAACTAACAAACTACAAATGAAGGCTGGAAGAGCTGAATAAGAAGAAGGGAAGGAAATATAAGACATGCTGCTTTCTGGTCTTCCCTAATATGATCCTTGTCAGCTTTCACCTGCCCTTCGTGACTCAGCATCTTGCTATAAAACCAGCTGACTTAGGCTCCTCAAATCTTTACCACCGCCCTTGGCCCCCAGCCCAAAACCATTCTGCTTTGCTTTGGGTGAAGTTCTGATCAAGAGGTTGCTCTACAAGATGGGTCAGATAACATCTTATCTCAAAAAACAGACCAGAAGCCAACTTCTCCCACAGTGAGGAGTACCAGTCCAAAACTTTCCTTGTTCACAGGTTGGGAAAAGAGGCAGGCTCCCAGGGAGTGCTGAGACATCTATCATGTCAACAAGCTCCTCCAAAGGCTCTGAACACTGGCTCTGCTGAGAATTCTAACTCTGTCAATCAACAACTGATTTAGAACCTTGAGACAGAATGCTGGCTCAAGTCAGGGGACGCCAGCTTTAAGGACAGCCAATTCTGCCACCCCAGGGACAGAGTTTATTTATTTTTAAACTAGAAAAAGAATGAATTTAAAATCAGTCTATCTGGAAAAACTAAAACTCACATTCCCTTCCCTAAGACTTGGAGAGCCAGCTCTCTGACGCTGCTATTTCATCAGCATGGGTCTTGTCTCCCCTAATGAGGACACGATTCCTCTGTCGCTTGGCTGGAAAACTCCTCTCCTGGCAGCCAATGTGGTGATGACCCCCTCCAAACTGAGATCATCTGACATAACATGACAGATTCACCATCTGTCCTGTGCCCTGCCCACACTGCCGGTCTAGCACGGTGGCACCTACCAGAGATCCCTGTCAAATGCCCACACAGGTCTTCAAGAGCTCAGGGACACCTCTCTATCACAAGGAAGCATCAGAGGATGACATCAGGGCAAGAAAAGGGGCTACACTTCTTAAGAAGGGAAGTTTCCCACCAACCCGAAGACATGAAAGGGGCTTCAGTGAGTTCTGAGGCACTTGCAAACCTTCCAAATGTGGTCAAGACAATGTCTTTACAGCTGACCATTCCCTTCTCTCCATGTTGCCCCCTTTTCTTTCTACTACTGGGTTTGACTTTGGGCTAAGAACTTCAAGAGCAGAAAAAACCTTCAAGATCATTTCCAAAAATCTGACAGAGGGGCAGCTAAGTGGCACAGTGGATAGAGTACCGGCCCTGGATTCAGGAGGATGTGAGTTCCAATTTGGCCTCAGACACATAACACTTACTAGCTGTGTGACCCTGGGCAAGTTGCTTAACCCCAAATGCCTCACCAAAAAAAAAAATCAAAGTCTGATAGAAATACAGCCAAATCTTTATTTAAAGAACAAATTTTACTCTACTGCTGCCTAACGTTTAACTGCACTCTCACCCCATCAGTCTCCCAACTATTCCCCAATCTTTTCTCTTACCTACAGCAGATTTCCTGTCGTGATTGTTCAGATTGTTCACTTCCACTTTGGGGTCTTCAATCAAGGTGCCAGGACTGGTGACTCCTGGAATATTAGGGAGGTGGCACGGTGGAGTTTGAGCCATGGGAGAATTTCGACGATCCAACAGGAATTTTCGGTCATAGATGATTCGGGTTCCTAAGAAACAAGAGAGTTGGGTAGGGGATGGGTAAATTAAAGCAAAATGTGTGTTTATCAGCATCTTGCTATAGCAGAGGATACGAACAAACACAACCCAAAAGGAAGGAGGGAACATCAGGCCGAGCTGTTCAAATCAGAGACATGGAATACAGAGCTGTGCCCACAGCTCATCCTCAAGCTTCCATGCCTCACTGTCTGCAAGGGAACAGAGGGCCTGCAAGAGAACAAAGAAAATAGCTTGGCCATGGCAAACTTGAAAGGATAGGTATCTAACCTAATATTAGGACAACTTGATAGAAAAAATCAAACACTATTAAAAATAAAACAGCTAACTTAAGAGGGTTGTAAAGATTTTGTAATTCTCAAGGACAATAAAGATAAAATCTATCAAGAGTGTAAGCAAAGTTTGGTTCAGCCACCAAATGAGAGACAGCACAACCGCAAAGTACACAGGAAGTTGGAAACTGCGGACTCCAAAAGGCAAGAATAAAAACCAGAAACCAAAATCCAAACTACACCAATGATCACAAGATCACAGATTTGGAGCAAGAAAGGAGCCTAAAGGGCATTCAAGTCAAACCCATTTATTTAAAGATGAAGAAACTGAGGTTGAGACAAGTTAAGTGACCTGCCCACAGCCACAGGGCCAGTAAGCAGTATCTAATTCAGGTTTTCCTTTTGAAAGGCACAACACTATTAACTGTACCACCCAGGTGCCTATACTAATTCAAGTAATCTGGAACTGAAATGATCCAACACAAATCACATCAATGCCATAATTCTATTTTTAAATAAATGCTAGTGAATTAATTCTTGTTTAGATTTTTTAAAAATCGCATGTATCTACCATAGCCAATTGGCAGGATGTTCAGACAATACAGGGGAAGCGGAGCGGATAATGGATGATAGAGCCAAATGAGGATAGTCATTGGTAGGTTAATGACCTTTTTTGGATCCTATCAACAACAAAGTTCTTGAGAATGGTAAAAGGTAAGTCTCATTAATACAAAGGAATCCCCAAAGCCTAGCTCCTACTTCGAGTGAGGCACATTACTTTCATACCCAAATCCCTACACTGAGACCTGAGCAGAAGGATGGACCCGCTAAAGAAGGATGTTATAGGCTGAAAAGAGAAACATGGAATTCTAGACCCAAAGATGCCCTACAGGTTCAAAGTACTGTTTATTACAAATCTTTAAAGCTTTCAAATGAGAACATTCCTGCAATGTACTCTTCTGGGCCAGGTGATCTGAATCCATCAAGGACAGGTGGGTGATTGATCTCTTACTCTCTCCTTACTTATCCTGGGTAACATGCCCATGTTAGTCATTTTTGTCTTCTCATCTTCAGTGTAAAGGTTATTCTCTTTAGCAGAGAAAACTAAAAGAGAACAAGCCTCGTGCAGCTCAAGCGATAGTCCTGGGGGCTTCTGGGCGCCTCCTTTTCTCCAGAGAGTTCAGAAGCCCTTTGGGCTGTCTGGCCCTGGCTGCCCTCCCCAGCCTCAGCTAAAGCTGCACAAGAGTGTTCACAGGGCCATGCCACACTCTTATCCATCTTCTGAATAGTTCTTTTAAAAATCTAAGTCGGCTGCTGAGTTCCTTGTTCATTTACATTGGTTTTCCTCACTTCCTTCACTGGAATTGTTTCCCCTCGTGCCTTTAGAATTTCATTCCTGAGCATCTTCCATCCCTCCTGAGTTGACTTCTCCTGAAGCACCTTATTGAATGGGATTCCACCTTTTCTCTGAACCCCTTGAAATCTGCTTTCCCAAAAGCTAAGGTACATGTTAGACTGTGCCCCTATTTCCTCTCCTCTATCACAAACTCTATAAAGAAGTGGTCACTTCTTGGGGCAGCTAGGTGGCGCAGTGGATAGAGCACTGGCCCTGGATTCAGGAGGACCTGAGTTCAAATCTGACCTCTGACACATAACACTTACTAGCTGTGTGACCCTGGGCAAGTCACTTAACCCCACTGCCTAGCCAAAAAAAAGTGGTCATTTCTCTCCCACGTTCCTACCAAATTCACCCCAGAAATCAGTTCCTTCTAGGGAGAATCAGACACACAATAGAATTTGCTTTTGCTGATTTCTCCACTAAGGGAAGACAAAAATCACTTTGGTGGCTGAACGGAGGATGCTTTGGAGTGGAGATCTGAGGCATGCAGGCCCAATAACACCAGGCTACCGCAATAGTCCCTGTGGGAGATGACGAGAGGGGTCACTAAAAGGGTGGCAGCATCAGAGCAGAAAAGGGGGCATATTCAAGAGGTGTTGGAAAGGTCAGATTGACAGACCTTGGCAACAGCTTGGACATGGGAGGGGAGGGGAGGGGAAGTGAGAGACAGTGAGGAGTACAGGATGACTCCTAGGTTGTGAGCCTGAGGGACTGGAAAAATAGTGTTGCCTCTACAGTACACGGGGAAGATAGAGAGTGAACGGTTTAGAGGGAAAGACAGAGTCCCACTTCGAACATACTGAATTTAAGATGTCTGCTGGACATCCAGCTGGAGATGTCTGAAAGGCAGCTAAAGACGGGAGACTGAAGGTCAGTGGAGAGTTTAGGGCAAGATAGGTAGACTTAAGAATCACCAGCATAAAGACAGTAATTAAATCCATGGGATCTGATGAGATCAAATGAAGTAGTAGTATAAAGGGAGAAGAGAAGAGGACCCCAACAGAACTCTGACCTAGCCCGCTGCTACCTATCCAGTCTTCAGTGCAATGACACTGGCCTCCTGGCTGTTCCATGAACAAGACACTCCATCTCTCAGCTCTGGGCATTTTCTCTGGCTGTCTTCCGTGCCTGGAACACTCTCCCTCTTCCACTCCAACTACTGACCTCCCTGGGTTCCTTTAAGTCCCAATAAAGAGCCTACCTTCTGGGGCAGCTAGGTGGCATAGAGGATAAGCTCCAGCCTTGGAGTCAGGAAGACCTAAGTTCAAATCCAGCCTTAGACAAATGACACTTACTAGCTGTGTGACCCTGAGCAAGTCACTTAACCCCAACTGCCTCACCAAAAAAAGGCCAAAAAAAAAAAGCCTTTTACAGGAAGTCTTCCCTAAACCCTCGAACTTCATTGCCTTCCCTCTTTTAATTATTTCCTATTTATTTTGTATATAGCTTGTTTTGTATGTATTTGTTTGCATGTTATCTCTCCCACTGGATTGTAAGTTCCTAGAGGGCAGGGACTATATTTTGCCCTTTGGGGGGGGAAATCCCTAGCTTACCACAGTGCCTGGCACACAGCAGGTACTTAATGTTTACTGAACTGAAAGTGCGTATGTGTTCTCACTTGATCTTTACAACAAAGAAGTGAAGATGCTACTATTATTCCATTTACAGATGAGGAAACTGAAGTAGACAGAGGTGAAGTGACTTGGCCAGGCATACATAGCCAGTAAGTATCTGAGATAGTATTTGAAGCCCAGCACTCTGGCCACTGCATCATCTACCTGCCTCTATGCTAGGCAACCCCACCATCAATGCTTTTGAATAAGGCGTGTCCATTCAAAGCCACAATCCAGTGACAGTTTTCATTCCACCAAGTTTCAAAAATTCCTACGAGCTCTAATTTGCCTCCTCCCATTAGGACTTCCTCGTTTACTGCCCAAACTTTGGGTACATGTGTATATACATTTAAGGTCAAGGGTTTTACTCCTGATTACTCTCTGACTTTGTCTCCTGTGAATTTCTGGGTGTCTCAACCATAATTTTTCTTCCTTCTTTGTGGTTATCCGTTATAGTATCTAACTTGGAGAATCTTCCTAAGCAGTTTTCTTCCCTCCACACCTTTTTACAATTAAAACTTAATACTATCATTAGGCATATGTTCATTTTAACAGGTACAACATTTAATTTTAACATTACAAGAGGGAAGGAATAATTCATTCCCACCACAGTCTACATAAATACTGATAACAGAAACATCAAGAAAGCTAAACCGGATTTCTTCTAACCACTACATTATTCTAGAAGTCAATGATAAGGAGCCAAAGATGTTGAGCCCCAATTTGAAATCATCATTAATAGAAAGATATCAATTATAAAACACAGGTGTTATGCAACATTGCCCATTAATATGGGAACTAACCAACACGGCAAAGAGGTAACAAGGTACAGCTAGTCCTTACAGGTTTACCCAACAAGAATTAAGAACCTACTAATGGGGGGGGTGGATAGAACAAGTTTACATAAGCCGTTAGCCCCATTCTTATCAGGATCAGTCTCCTACAAAAGTAAGACGAGACAACACATGGAGTGCTATGTCAAAATGGAAAGCATCATCCTGGGAAGGGATGAAGGAAGGCTGATGAAAGATACAGCATTTGATTTGGGTTTTAAAGGATGGGTAAGAACTCAACAGGTAAAAAGGAGGATATTATAGGCAGAGGAAACAGCGTGAGTAAAGGCACATAGATAGGAGCACAAGGAACTGTCTGGAAATACCAAGTCACCCAGTTTAGCAGGAGCCTAAAGCATGGAGAAAGGAACTGCCAGAAAGATGAGGTGGCAGCAGGACAAGGAGGGAACAGTGAAGGAATCTGCCCACGATTCCAACAGCAACAGCAAACCCCTGAAGAATCCTGAATCAAAGAAGGTCATAACTAGATTCCATGAGGAAGACTATTTTGGCAAGAAAGAATAGGAGGAAAAGAGAGGAAGGCCACTGCAGCAGTCTAAGTGGATGGCAAACCAAGTCTGCTCCAAGGTGACAAGAGTCAGGAGAGAAGATAAGCGAGAAATGGAGTAGAATCAAGAGAACCTGGCAAAGGTAACCAGCTCAGTCGGGGATATGCTGAGGTTCCAAGCGTTAGAGCTGAAAGGGGCCTTAGAGAGAGGGCATCTAGTCCAAGCCTCTCATTGCACTGAGGTCCAGAGAGCTGAAAAGCAGCTGGTCCAACGTCATAAAAGCTGTAACCAGCAAAGCCAGGACGTCTTCTCCCTCCCAGTCCACTACTCATTTCACTACAGCAGACGGCCTTTTAGGTTGAGCGGG